TAGTTACTAAGCTTGATAAATTATAGTGGAATTATATGGTATCGATATAGTAATTTATGATTTTTTGGTTATTCAACCGTATATATAAAAAACCCCAAAAAATAATATGTTGTTTCATATCTTCTACATGTGAAATTTTAAAAGGCTTAGCAACCTATGTCAAACAGCAACTGAGTACAAAAGTCGTAACTGGAAGAGATAATTGTTTGCTTTACTTCCTTATTTACTGTTCTATGTTTCAATAAAAATAAGTTTAAGAACCTATTTCTAACTAGTAATAATCTATATACATATATAACGTATAATAATGGAAATGTGACTGTATTTTACAAAATACTAGTCTATTAAATAACACAGATAAGACAGGTCACTTTATAAAGACTAAAGGTCAGTTTTATGTTATTTGATATGGTAAGATGAGTGCACGTGAGCCTAAACATTTATGTTTATGTGTTATAATTTGTTCTCATTTTAGAATGAAAGAGGCATAACTTATATTTATTTCTTAATTTTTTATGGTGGTTACAAGATTGGTCAAAGTAAAAATAACATATAGAATATAAAGTTTTTCTTACGAAACATTTGATAACTATCTGGACATTATAAAGATTACGCATGTGAAATTAGAAAATTTTCTGATGCATAAAAGTATTTTTAATCTTAAAATGAATATTACTTTCCATGTTGGATAGGTAACATGCGAAAAGAATAAAAAAGGCATGAGAAAAACATTGCTTAACAAACCTTAAGACTTAATAAAAAAAAAATTATATTTTGCATATGAAAGCATTTTAATGTTTAATGATAATCAGCCAAATTTCGTTAACATATGCTTACTATTTTAAAAGTTATAACATGAAAACTATAACAAGCACAAAATGGTTATGAGGTTAGTCCCAGGGACTGAGCTCATACTGAAAGAGTTAACTTCCTCAATAAGGGATCAATGGAATTGAATGACCATGTGACCACTTTTTACGTGTTATAGTTTCAGGACTCCTAACATTTAATGTAGTATGTGTATCTTCACAAAATTGGCAGACTTTCAGTACACATCACACATCTTTTATATACAAAAAGTATTTTTAATAAAGATTTGTCTGTGAATATATTACACCTTTTTTTTACTACTCTGAGTGCAAAGTGATTTTTATGTAATCTCTAAAACCTCCTAAATAAGCTTTTGTTCCAGTAAAACTTTATAATTTAGCTGTTATTTTTTCTACCCTAATTCTATAAAAGGTTGGTCCATTTAACTGACCTCATAACCACCAAAAAAAAAAAATCTAAATAAATCTATATTACGCTTTTATCTTTCTAGAATAACTTCAAATTGTAACATGAAACTACATTTGTTTATCTTAAGTGGCTTTAAACTCTCTTACAGTATGTATATATTTATGCTTAAATTTTATTGCCCTTTGAACTGTGTCTAACTACTGTTTGCACTATTATAAGTTACAAATTACTCAGGGAACCCGTGGCTCGTATTACGTTATCAAATTACATAACTCACAAGGATGTGACTCGCGAAAATGTTTTATTATATTATTATTTATTTTACCTAATCTAACCTAAGGAGATTCCCATTTTTACATTTTTGTTACTTTTATAATAATAAATAAAGAATACACATGAAAAACAAGAAATAAAGTACTCACCTGGGCTCTTTTTTTGCTGTCCACTGGCGATGACATTTAAGCCTTCTTTTTTTTTTTATGCTAATGGTATTAGTGTACTAAATCTATATACATAAAAGAGGAAGTTTTTTTATTTGTTTATTCTGTTCACTACAGGAAACCAAACGGTTGAACTTACAAATTCTAAAATAACTTCATAATAACCAGTTTTTTACAAGAAATTTAATGGTGCTATTTATTTTGTATTTGGTGTAGTATTTAATGACAAAATTGATGAAAATGTGTTATAACGGTGCATGTATAAAGAACAACAATAAAATGGACCTACAATATTATTGACTATTTGCAAATAGTAACTATGGAGATGAGGTAATAAAATAAAAATTAGGGCCGAGAACAACAACAAAATTTTATAGACGAAAACCTCTCGCCGAGCATTGGCTATTATATTTCCCTGTCAATGTTCCCATCTTCATTAAAAGTCATAAGATGACAAAAACAAGATCTTGAAGAATCTATCTATATATATAAAAGAGGAAGTTTGTTTATTTTGTTCACTATAGGAAACCAAACGGTTGAACTTACATACTTCATAATAACCAGTTTTTTACAAGAAATTTAATGGTGCTATTTATTTTGTATTTGGTGTAGCATTTAAGGACGAAATTGACAAATAATGATTATTGTGCCATTTTTTTGTAGTAAACATACAAACATAAGCACGATTTGCACATAGAAAGCGTTATGGCGGGAGACACTCAGATCACCTTGCTGTCAATTCAGTATTTCCAAAAACAGTTTTCTTTAAATAATGCTAAGTGGTTTCATAAGTGATTTAGTAACTTTATGAATTACAAATTATTGTTTAGTGATACAGGTGATTATGCCACCCAAGAAACGCCTTTTCTATGGAAAGTCTTCTGCCGCTAAAAGAATGCAAGCACAAAGAGCAGCTGAAACAGAAGAAGAATGCAATCAAAGACTTCAAGCACAAGCTGCAAGACAGGCTGCTCAAATACAAGAAGAGACTTTGGAACAACGTAAAGTTAGACTTCGAGCTCAAGCTGAAAGGCAGGCTACTCAAAGACAGCAAGAAACTGTTGAACAGCACAAAGCCAGAGTTCAGTCAGAATCATCAAGGCAAGTTGGATATAGACAACAAGAAACTTCTGAACAATGTCAAACCAGACTTCAAGCACAAAAATTAAGATAAATAACTTATAGAGAGCAAGAAATAGAGGAGCAACATTCAGGCTCAAAGAACAAGACAAGCTCAAACACGATCTAATTTCAGATAAAGCTTTGTTTGATTAAAATGCTTTTTTATTTCTCGCATCACAGCTTTTTTCTACTTACTGAATAATTTGCTGAAAAAAATACTGATCTATACATTTCAAATCTAAATTTTCACCGTGCAACACCGGGTAACTCAGCTAGTAATTTATATTTAATTAAATAATGCACAAAAGAACATAGAAAAATAAAATGCTAAAAGCAGACAATTTCCTCTAAGAATCACACTTTTTCTGGCTTTCTATGAGACAAAAGCTATTAAAAATTAATTCAAGCTATTCGATGTGTTCCCTGTGAGAACGAAGCTTGTACTAAAAGAGAAATTGACAATTCTCTGTACAGAAAACAACATAACATAATACATCATTTGATAGATGAAAACCTTGGTTTTATATTGGTTATAAATACTACAGTATTGAACATCAGAGAGAACTATTGATAAATTCTGAAAAAGATGTGACAGGTGAGTATGGCAAGAGGGGTCTGATTTTCTATTTGATGGTTATGTAACCATACAAAAGTGAAAACTATAATAATTATGCTTTGCTTGAGCAATCAAAATATTATAATGAGTAATTTACATTAAATTTTGTACTTATTGGCAGAGTGGTTATTAAGTAAGAGGAATGCCTAAAGAAAAATGTCACATTTCTCTCACTAGCGGAAATTCGGGAATTTTTTTAATATCTCTTTTAAAATTAAGAACTTAAACTTATATACTATTAAAATATTGATTATCAGCTACGAATTAATGCTATACTAATTGGTATAACAAAGCTGTTTAATTAAATTTTGAAGGTAACTCACTAAACACCTTGTAACATGTGAAGTAAAGGATACCTGTAGAGAGACGGTTAAACGAAACAAAAGACTTTGTAAGTTCGTGTACACAGTACTTACCAAAAATAAAGTCAGTGTTTTTAAGTCTGGCTCCTTTCAACAATAAATTAACAGGGCCTAAAGAGCTGAAATGAGCACAAATCAATTATTTTGTTTTTAATTACCTGCCATTTTAAATGAAGTTAAATAAACATTTTTGTAATTATGAATTTTATTTTCAAAACTCACAAAATAAAGGAATCTAATCACTCACTATTTTATTTTTCTTCAAATTAACATATAATTTATCACACAAGTATACACATAATGTGTTTTCAGTTTAGCAGCACTATACCTGGCTTACCTCTTGATACATGTCAGTAGCTAATGATTATGTTAGGAATAACATGTGCCTTAAACTGTTTAAAACATACAAATTTTATAAAAATATAATTAGGTATTTGAAGATATATATAAATGAAGTACATAACTTACACTGGATAAAATTACAAGTTAAATTTGAAGTGTATTTTTATGAACACAACAAATCTGATAAATTTTGTTTCAACACAATCCAACTCTATTTAAAAGTTTTAACTGTTTTTTTAGGTACATTGTGCATATATACATATAAAGATTAGAAAACAAAAACAACTATTTTGTAAAAATGAATTTTGTTTGGTTGTTGTCAAGCTCAAAGCTACAAATTGGACTATCAGTGCTCTACCCACAAAGGATATAAAAACCCAATTTTTAGTGTTGTAAGCTTACAGTCTTACTGTAGAGCCACTGAGGGGCATCACAATGAAAAATAAACTTTTCATTAGTTGTTTCAGCAGACTAGTTTCAGTAACACAGTTACCATCATCAGCGCTTCTGATTTAAATGCTTTTGGTATGGACAACAAAAAACAAATACAAATTAAATTGCATTTCAAATAACACAACAACAAATTATTTATTTTCAAACTGCTTGTGGATTATCCTTTATTTTTGCCAAACATAAATTGTATATAATTTAATTGAAAATATATTTTTTTATTAACAAGCATTTCATATTGTAGCTGGAAATTTAAATTAATCTCTTTATTACTTAATACAAAATATAATGGATTTTCAATATGAGCAAATGTTATTATATACATTATGTTTGTTTGTAATTAAGCACAAAGCTTAATGGGTTATCTGTGCTCTGCCCACCATGGGTATTGATACCTGTGTTCTAGCATTGTAAGTTCACAGACATACCGCTGTGCCACTGGGGGCATATATATATATTATGAACTTAATTTTTTGAATAGTGATTATTCACAAATCTATAGTGTGAAATAAATAAAATACTGTCAAACTTTAAATAAAAATACTTTGTCTGTGTGCAAAGTTACACAATGAGCCATCTGCACAGTGTCCATCACTGGTAACTGAACTCTCAATTTTACTGTTATAAGACCTCATGTTTACTGCTAAGCCATTGGAGGATTTAAGTTACTTTGTAAACAATATTTTGGTAGGAGATTGCTTGACAGCAACCAACATAATATAATGAACATTAACACCTTCTGATGTACTGTATATATATATATATATATATATATATATATATATTATTTGGCTACAATCAGTTTAGAAAAAATGATCTTAAAATATGAAATTGTGATCAACACATATAATAGTATACATCAGCAAAACTATCTAATATGTACAATTTACAATTTTACACATCAAATCTTTTCTTTTTTTATATCTGAGTAAATTTCAGATGGTCAAAGACTTCATATTCTTAGCCCAGTATCATTAGGATATATACTCACCAAACAGTATTTTCACTAGCATTTCTGTACAATGTCATTTTGCCAATAAATTTGTAAAGATTAGGTGTTGGGTTTTGGCACTCAATGAAAGCAATCAATGTATTTAGACATTCTGTTGTCTGGTACGTTTGAGTTTCTGGAAGACACTCATGAACCTATTATTAAAAATCAAGTACAAAAAAGTAAACATCTTAATGTACTGATAAACAAAATGCCTTACAATCTTTAGGATTAAGAAACTGACATTTTACAAACTGTAAATGAAAAAAATGGGAAGCAACCATTATTAATATATTAATTGTCAATTCAAACCACTCCTCATTACATAAAAAAGTTTGAAATATAAAAAGTTTTGCAATAAAGCATTTTTGCAAATCCATCATATACCTTTCATCATTAATCCAATCCAAACAGACACCAAACTTTATAAACTTGAATACTCTTAAATACTGTATCTTAGAGTATTAATCAAGATATTTCATTTAAAATTATGTAATACAGCTATTTCATAAGCTATTGACATGAAAGTTGAGTTGGATATTGTACCAAATGTATTAGATTATTTAGTTAGAATACTTATCTGACTTGCGTGCCAAGATTTTGAACCCCACTCAAGATTTTTTAACACTCTAACTACAGACTTGATCAAATTGGCCGAGTTTATGACCCCAAATTGACCTTTATAGTTTCTGTATTATCATTTAATATGTATTTTATACCTTCATGAAATTTCACAAGTTTTCAGTAAGCATGTTTAGTACACAAAAAAAAAAAAATCAGAATTTTTAACGAAGTATTTTCAATGTAAGGTTAAAGTGCTTTTTTTCATCTTAAAATTACCAGGTTTCATTTGTGTAATCTCTAAAACCTCCTAAATAAATTTCAAATGCTTTTTTAGAAAAACTTTATATTTTATTTATAATTTTCTCTACCCTAACTCTATACAGATTCGTTCAAGTTGACCAACCTTGTAACCACCATTAAAAATTCAAAATAAATCTAAGTTATCCTTTTTCCTTTCTACACGATTTCAAATTGTAATAGTAATTTACATTTCTTTATACCAAATACTTGAAAATTTATAACAGCATTCATCTGTTTCTACTTAAATTTTATTGTTTTATTGCCTTTTGAACTGTTTCAAACTAATATTCCAACCACGCAAGTTTTAAGTCACTTGGCAAACACGTAGCTCATGTTACCATATCAAATTACGTAATGCACGAGCTGTGCATGAGCATACCTCACAAAAAATATTATTGTCGTTTTTCTTTATTTTACCTAATCTAACCTAAAAGTCTCTAATTTTTACATTTTAGTTAGTTTTATAATAATAAATAAGGAATACACATGAAAATCAAGAAATATAGTACTTACCTGTGTCTTCTTTTTTTTGCTTTAGACTGTCGATGAAACTTAACTATTTTTTTTTATACTAATGGTAGTACTGCAATAAATAATTCTTTATTTAATTAAATAATTCACCTAAGAACACAGAGTAATAACACATAAGGAGCAGACAATGTCTTACTTATCACAATTATGAATATCTTATGATAAGAGCCACTAAAAATTCATCTAAACTCATTATGTGTTTCCCATGGGAATAAAGTTTGAACTTGAAGCAAAACATGCAATTTTTTGTACAGAAAAACAATGTAATATAATACATCATTTGATGACTTAAAGTTTTGACTTTCTATTGGATATAAAAAATATAGTATTAAGTATCAGAAAGAATTATTGTCAATTTGTGAAATAGAGGATGTGACAGGTGAACATGGCAACAGGGGTCTGAAAGTTTTGACTTTCTATTGGATATAAAAAATATAGTATTAAGTATCAGAAAGAATTATTGTCAATTTGTGAAATAGAGGATGTGACAGGTGAAAATGGCAACAGGGGTCTGATTTTCTAGTTTATAGTTCTGTAACCAAATAAGATTGAAGACTATAACAATTATGCTTTGCCTGTGTAATAACAATATTATAATAAGTAATTTATGTTAAATCCCATACATCTCATAGGGGTGGTAAATAAATTAGAGAAGAGAGAAGACCTAGAGAACAAATACCACAATTTTCATACTAAGGGGGTGACTGAGGATGTTTTTAAATATTTCCTTATGAAATTAAGAACTTAAAACTTATATAATATTAAAAGTTGGATTATTAACTACATTTTGATTTCAACTGTATTTGTATACCATGATAAAAAAGTAGTTCAGTTAATTTGTGAATGTAACTCAAACCTTCTGACATGTGCAGAAAAGTATGCCCATATGGATAGTTATATCAGAAAATAAAACTTTGCACAGTACATGTAACATTCCACATACAAATTTAAGATATGTCGAGTAACCCATCAAAGTCATCAACTCCAAGCTTACCTTGAGGTTAGTTTCTCCATCAAGGTTAGCAGTTGTGATATGACAATGTCCTTCTTTATTACTAGATGAAAGCATCACAAGATCACAAGGGAATTCCTCATTAGATTTCACCATGACAATATCTCCAACCTGAAAGGAATATATGACTTAAACAATAATTATCCACCTCACTGTATATCAGGATAATAAATTTTGGTGCTTTATTCACATCTTATGAAGGTACACAGAGTTCTTATAAAGCTTCAAAGGGACTGGATGCACCTATAGGCAGTGTGGAAGTTTTTGATTTCATTTATGATATTCTGTTATTTGTACACCAGAGAAAAGTAATAAATTAGCTTAACGAGTTTTCCTTGGTTTATTTTACTGAAGTAATTGTTTTGGCAATTAATTTTTTGTATACAATAACTTTAGTTCCGTAGTTCATGCCTTAGATTAAGCTATCAATGAACAATAGGATCATACTTTACCATCAGTCAAATGTGTTATGTCTTATCAAACACAATGCATGTATTATCATACATATGACATAAATAAGTTTTACATACAAAATAAAGTGAAATAAATGATATCTATTTATATTATTTTTAATAATTTAGATGATTTTTTTACTGCACCATTTCATTCTACAAAGTGGTGTACCCTACATATTACTAGGCCTACTTATAGTACAAACATCAACACTGACAATCAGTTCAGCCATAATGCAACACATGTACAATGGCATAGTAAATAGCTGTGTTATGAAGTGGTTTTTATTGCATCATAAATTAACCAAAAAATCAAATTTATGTTTCAAAAGGTATCACAGATATCATGTCATGTATTCTTTCAGATTTAATGACATTTGTGAGTTATTAAAGCTTATTAATAAAAAATAAACTTGGTGAAATATCAAACACTGGTACATAAAAAGAGTTAATGTGTAAACATTACATTTTTCTGTTATTACTGTACTTAAAACCTTACGTAGGATTATCGTATGTCTACTTTAAGTCAAAACTACATTTTTTGCCAGATATGATGCTACATATGATGGCATTTCTGTGTGGTGTTCACTTCTTTGGCTTAAATGTCTAATGCTAAACTAGATGATTAATTTTAAAAGAATATTATAACAGGAAACTTTTCTCTGGAAAAATGAATCTTACAATTTATCAACCATAATTTTAACCTTTGATTTAAAATACTGTAGTTAAGGTTTCAACAGGAAACTTTTCTCTGGAAAAATGAATCTTACAATTTATCAACCATAATTTTAACCTTTGATTTAAAATACTGTAGTTAAGGTTTCAAACGTGCATTCTCTAAATACATTGCAAAACCTGATAATGATTTGGTAGGACTAATTTTCATTTATTTATTCCATTTCTAAAATGTAGGTTTTATTCTGCAGATAAAAGATAAAAAATTTTTTTTCTTTCAGCATTATATTGAATTAACCTACAAATAAACTTGTAATTTATAACCAATTTCAAACATTTTAACTCAAACACAATGCTCATTGTATTAGAAAACAATAAAAAAGTTTTAATATATTAGATTTTGATTTCTAGTAAAAAGAGTGTCTTTTTGATATGTTATTGTAATTGAATAGCTTCCAATTTATTTTAACCTTAATGTAACAGACCAAGAAGCAGTAAGAATAGTTGTATTGACTTGGCGATGTGGCATTTCTTGGCTAGATATGCTAGGAACAGAAATGTGTGTAGTATTGATTTTGAAAGAATACTTTAGTAAAAGTCTAGTTAACATATTTGACTAAATTATTATAATCCTACTAATGCCATGATGTTTTTTAGTATACATTTTTTCTTCATCTAACAGGTATCTATAAATAAGACCAAAAGTAAAAAAAACTTCTAAAATATTTAGTATATCAAAACTGATGTTTTTCATTATTACCTACCCTTATGTCTTGAGATTTAATCCTGTCTATTTTTCTACCTCTAATGACACGAACAAGTGTTTGATTCACTAAGCGGTCTGCTCTATGCCTCAACCAGTCTTCATAACCTTGTTTGATGGCAGTTACAGTTACAACAAATATGAGTGGCGCTAGGCTGGTCAGTGGGCTGACAGGGCTGTTTATGCTGAGCTGCAAATGACAAGGATGGAAATAAAAACATTAATTGATACTTAAAAACAAAACAATCTTTCCATTAGATTTTAATATTATATAAATATGTTCTTTAGTTAATATTTAAATTCCTTCAGTTAATACACTTATTTATAAGATATTTCAGAAGAATCTCTCTACACTAAAATATCAAAATCAAGGAATTGCATAGTATTACATTGTCAATAAATTAATGTCGCATTTTGGAACACTTTCATTAACCACCACCAAAAAATGTACATCACCTATAACAGTTAAACAAACTGCCTAAACATCACATTAGTGTAGCTTGTATAATGTGTAAAGTTTAGTATACCCTAGTCCCTTATAGTGATGGCACACGATGAGACACACAATCAGCATGTAATGCTGTTTGAACACAAGAAAGGAAACACCTCTGTAGCCACAAAAAATATCAAGGAATTTTATGGAAATGTTTCGAATGTTCATAAGTGTCAACGATGGTTCAGCAAATTTCATTCAGGTGACTTTAGACTTAAAAACTGTGATGGCAGGTGCCAACATGTTGGAATTGATACTGATGCTCTGAAGATGCTTGTTGAGTCTAACATAAGGCAACATTCGTGAAATTGCACTGAAGTTGCATGTCTCTCATCTAAGGAATATGGGAAAACTTCATAAAGAAGGTGTTTGGGTGCCTCACAAACATTCCAATGATCATCGTTTCCAATGTGTTCTGGCACGTAATGAGCATGAACCATTTTTGGACAGAATTGTCTCCGGTAATGAAAAATGGATTATGTATGCGAATATTAAATACCAAAAACAATGGCTCAGTCCAAGACAAAAACCACTTCCTTTCCTAAAACCTGAACTCCATCTGCACAAAATTATGCTTTGTATTTGGTGAGACATCAAAAGAGTACTTCATTCTGAACTCCTCAATCCACATCGAACTGTCAATGCAGAGATCTATAGTCAGCAACTGGAACATTTAAATCAAAGCCTTCATCAGAAATGTCAAATAAAAAAGTGACAACCGAATATCCAGTACAGAGGGAGCCAGGGGCTCTAATAGGTGGTGTCACACCTCTATTGGTGGAAGGTTGTAACATGGTTATTTGTATGCAACAATGCAGTAATATCATGTGCAAACACATGAGGTTAAGTGGAATCCTTAATGCTAGTGGCGAGCAAAAAGATTTGCATGTAGAGGGCAACACTGAATCGGGAAACTTCATGTGAGAGGATGTTATGTATCGTATCAGAATTTACAGTGGGTGTGTTTATGTAGGTTAGGTACAAAAATAAGACATAAAATTAAAGGTGGTAGAAATAGTAAATTAATATAGATTACAAACACACAGAAACAATAAAACCCTAATGCTCAGTATTCAAACAAAATCAAATCCAAACATTACTGTTCAATGTTAACTTAAATTTCTTAATAAAGTGGACATATTAAATATAAATACAGTTAGTAACACCATATTTGAAGTAGTTAAATAAACATACAATAGTAGTGACTGTTCCTTTTTTATTAATTATTTTGTTTTTTTTAAAAAAAAACAAGGTGTAATTCCTGTCAGTTTATCATTAACAAGATGAATAAATCACAGAAAATACTTTTGAAATTTTTATGTTGTTTCTTAGTATTAAAAATCTTGTAATTACTCAAAGATTTTTTTAACTCTAAACAACACAAACAGACTTTTAATTTTAATTGTATCTGGCACAATATTATGAAAGCAAATTTTTTTCTTGAAATCTGAAATCATTTTATTTTTGTAATATTTTTATGATAACATATTATTGTGTCTTATGTTTAAATTTCCAATATATTAAAATAGCAAATACTGTACTGATTATTTAGCACACTCTATTAAAGAAACTTGTGGGGATTTGATAGTTTCTAAATTAGTTGCCTATAAATCTTAACAAAAAAATAAAAAAAATAATAAAAATGGAAATATCTGTTAAATAAACTAATTAGTAATTATTAATATTTGGTAGGATTATCACAGAAATTATATTTATGAGGAAAATAAATTACTGTTCTATTACAATGATGAATTTAAATGGCAAATAGTCCAAATATCAGCCTAGAATATGAAAGTTTTAAATACTTACTTGTATTACAGCTATACACAGGAAGTAAAAGTTGGCAATTCTTCGAAATTGTTCAAATAGATTCTTTGGGATAAAGTTCCATAAAGTGTACTTAAAGAAATGAAAAATTAATAATTAATTAATAATTTAAACTGCACACTGCCCAGCCTAATAAAATGAATTTAAAATATAAAATTATATTATAATGATAATGATATGGCTATAGAAAGAACAAAGATTCTACTGCAATGGATTTAACCCGAAATATAGTTTGTGCAATAAAGAGCCCCCCCCCCCATGAAGCAGTTATAATGAAAAAATGGTAGTAATGTACTATCTCCTGATGTAGACATAAGCACATTGAATTTGTACTAAACAAAGAAGCTGACCAATGAGTTTGTATTGAGATAGGAACATCCACTGATCAAAGGCATAACTTGGAATGAGTGAAGTAAACTGTTTAAATATAAGGAAAAAGTAAAACATTAGCAAAACAAGAGATATATTTTTATAATTTTAGTAAATTATTTTGACTTGAAAAACTTGCTACGTTTTAATCACAAAAATTTCAATTAAAACTACATATAATAACATTAAGTGGCTTCAAGCTATCAGAAGTTTTTCAATTATTTAATTCTAAATACAGTGTGCTTCTTCTTAAAGAAAAATTGCTATTTTTTAAATTTCCAACTGAAAGTTTTGCTCTAAATTTCTCACAAAGATGGTTAAAATACAAAAATGAATTGTTTTAGATTTGATTACTGAATTGCTTATTCAAGCACCATAACATTTTATACATTGTAAATAATTATTGCGTTCACACATACACATATTACATGTTCAAGTATTAGGGCTTACCTTAGAAGAAACTACAGTGTTGTCTGGAAACTTTCCTTCTAATTCATCTTCTTTACCTGGTGGATGCCTATGGCCAACATACACTGTTCTAGACTCTTCATGAGACTTTCGACTCGAAGCTCTCTGAAGTCAAAGAAGTATTAAATGAAATTCAATACATGGACTTGTAGCATAGAGATCAATACATGGAAATAAAGCTTACATTAAACTATAAATGCTTTATTTAGTATGGGAGTTAAAAAACACTTATTAAATATATGACTCCACAAAATAAAATTATAACCATAAAGACTTTGGGATATTTAGAGAAATCTCAAGGTTTCAAGAAATAAAAAGTAGAAAAACTTTAATCATTTTAATTGCTGAAGAGGAAAAAAAATTTTGGATTTTTTGAGACACTGACTTAACCTACAAAGTTTCACCAACAGTTTTTATTTCCTTTATTTAATGAATTTTTTTATCTCTTGTGTTACTTATGAATTTACATGTCCCTTTCAGTCAATACCAACTAAATGGAAACAATACTTGCAGAACTGTACAATCATATCTGCAAACAAACAAAGTTTAGCAGATACATGAAGTATATACATATATCAAGTACTGAATTCGTGTCTTAGTCCAAAAATAAAGAAATACTATTTTTTGCTATAAAACTCTGAATGGGAACCACTGTTTGCAAAACATGAAGTTTCTTTCTTGCTGTAAGAGTGCTTGTGTTGTGTTTACATACATTACACTGTCATTACGATAAATACAACTACTATATAAACAGTACTGTAACATACATATATAACTATACATCAAATACTAAGCACATTAAATGTGAACTGAGGAAGCTAGATCCATAGAGATAGTTCAAAATAACATTCTAACATGTATTTTTTCCAAATGTTTTAAATTGACAACATTCTTGTTTCAATTGAATTAACTGCATGAATGACTAGTAAAGTGTCAAAATCACTCAAAGATTTTTTTAAGTTTCCACATGACTAAAATAAATAATAACAAAAAAAAACATATAATTAAACTAGTAGAAAATTAACATGAATTACTGCTTCACATAATGAACGCTTAATGGCATGTTACACAAAAATTAGTTTTTACGATAAGTGTAGTTCAAAGTACATCATATTTTGCTGCTAATGTGAGTTTAGTCTAATAAGGGGAGGGATGTTTAAGGAACATAAGACAAAAGGGCAGTATTATTCATAGAAATTTCAAGAGTTAAAATCAGATACAAGTGTTCAAAGGATGCTGTAAGTAAGTGCTCTTAATGTGTAAGTTGCAGCCACAAAAAACTTAATGTTGCATGTCAACGTTTGTGGTATATACCAGTCATTTCTTTTTCTTTTCAATTAAGAAAGTCAAACATTTATCTAGTCACAAAATTTTCAAAATATTGTGTACTTATGTGTATTCACACACACTTTTGTATACATCACTAAGCACCATAAAATTCACTACACAAGTAACCAAATCTTTCTAATAATGATTTTTATCTACAACAAAATGTTGAATTTCTATCAGTTGTGTGAATTCAGGTTTGAATAAAAACAACTTAACTGAATAGTACTATACAACCTTACAGTGGATAATAACCATAAGCTTGTAAGATTGACTCAGTAGTTACTGGGTTCTTTTGTAAGGATTTTTAGATGGTTTTGTGTGTTCATCCTTACCTTGTGTCTGTATTTTTTGGCATTGCCATCCCTACATCATACTTAATTTTTGCAAAAATTATTTTATTACTTGTTTAAAAATGAACATACAATGTTGAACTGTTTCACAATAAATTAGTTTTATTACAAAAAGGGCAGAGTCCTAAAAAGATTACATGTTTCAGTGGCATTCTATGCCACCATTATTAGAAGTAAGAATTTAAAATCAAAGTCTGACATATATATATATATATATATATATATATATATATACACACACACACACACT